TGTTGTACAGTGTGTAGGTGTGTGTTGTACAGTGTGTAGGTGCGTGTGGTACAGTGTGTAGGTGTGTGTTGTACAGTGTGTAGGTGTATGTTGTACAGTGTGTAGGTGCGTGTTGTACAGTGTGTAGGTGTGTGTTGTACAGTGTGTAGGTGCGTGTGGTACAGTGTGTAGGTGCGTGTGGTACACTGTGTAGGTGTGTGTGTTGTACAGTGCGTATATGCGGCGGACAGATGGATTGGATTGGTGTCCTCTGCTTACTTTTAATACTTGTAAATCAAACTTTTGGCCCGTAATTTCAATTCACCATTTCAGCGACCAGAGAGAGGGGGGGGGGGGTATATCCAGTCTCTGATTGTGTTAAGTTATTATGAGAGTGGTCTCATACTTGTTTGATTCTGAAATTGTATACTGTATGTGTGTGTATTTGTCCGCATCTGTAGCCTGTTATTGTCTCATTATACCGCACTGTGAATGAATCAAAGTAAATATATAAGTTGTCATGAACACATCTGTCCATCAGACAGAGGGCTGCTGTGCCTCCTGTCATCATTAATGGACGTCTCTTTAAAATGACCGCTCAGAGGAGAGGAGTTCTCATTTCTCTCACCGCCTGCTGCTTCCCCTCCTCTCTCCTTGGTTCCCCTCCTCAGTCCTCCGCTCGCATCTCCTGTGGGCGGGACTAAGTCTCGAGGATAGGAGTCGAGGAGGGGAGTCGAGGAAGGGAGTCGAGGATAGGAGTCGAGGATAGGAGTCGAGGAGGGGAGTTGAGGAGGGGAAATTAAAAAATTGAGAACACTTCCACACTGTGCCGCTTCAAGTCATTCTTCATGGTTTCCGAGCCCTCCATGAAAGGTATTTTAAATCTGAATCACACTGACTCAAATGTGCTTTATTATTAACAGTTTTCCTGCCAAGTTTCTGCATTTTTAGGTAGTACATTATGACAATGACGAGAAAATGTGGGTCACAGTCTTACTGTAGATAGAGATGAAGAGCTCTTTGGAACATAAAAATAGCAGTGCATGAAAAATGGAGGAATATGACTGGAACCTTTTTTAGTGTGAGTGCACTTAACTACGTTGCCCAAAGACCAGAATGACAATAGTACTGTACTTACAGTGCAAAGTTCTTTCAGTAGGCACGGTTAGGATTCATTCTTGTGTGGAGTGTTCATTTATAAAACTCACATTGGAGATCATTGTGACATCGTTTATCACCAAAATTGTGATTTTAACTCTTCAAAATGAAAAGCTTGGAGTGATGAGTGCTTTTCTGCATCTTCATGAAAAATACAGCTGTTAGGAAGTTGTTCAGCTTCCTCAGCAGCTTTTAGCTTTTAGCACTGACATGGCCCTTAGTTTGCCATATGCCATGGTCACAGTTTCCTGACTAATGCTGTCCCCACTAAGTGTGTCTGTAAAAAACAAACTAAATGAAATACCATTAAAACGACACTAAGCATGTAAAAACACGTGTTCTTTTGAAATAACTTTGTTCACAGTCAATGATCAATAAAACACAGTGACAAGTTTCATATTATTGCAATTCAATTCCAATCATAGTGAAGGGCTGTAGATGAGGAACACTGAATGTTAACATGTTGCACTATTTTAACTTAACATTTCTACTTGCCTTTCATTTAATTTATTGAGTCTTGCTTTTTTGGTCTTGGTGTTCATTGAGTTTGGTTAGTATTGTATTTTTTTTGTGAAGCAATTTCTTTCACCCTCTTTGTGCATGAAACGTGGTCTTTAAATTAAGTTGAATTGATTAATTGGTTGATATTGAAGTTAAACCTTTATTCATGCAACCTGTTAAGCCCCGAGCCTGTTTATCAGGTCTCAGGCTCGAAAATGACATTCCCAGAACCAATGACCATATCTTCCCTTCTAAAAGGGATAAATTAATAATCTTTTTTCTCAAAGCAAGGTTACATCTGTGAGTTGGATGTAGAAGTGTCAGAATCAATATAGATGTTTTTATTTTAAAGTAAATTCAGATTGAACACAGCAAAAAACTGTAAATTATTGTGTCCGTCCAAAAAAAACAAATTACTTACAGTGAAAACCACCCTTGAATGATGGGATGGTAGACTAAAAGCTTTAGGAATCTAAACTGCAACATATAATAAGTACCCTGTATCAAGATTGATGCAAAACAAGTTACATTTGACCGTTTTAGAGAGATTTAGCAAAAGAAAGCCACTTCTGGGGTCATTTGGGTGGATTTGACCTATCTCTGGCCCCCCTTGCTCGATTTTGCTGATTGACATCTCTTTCTAACCGTCAGAGCCAATGGAATCGAGGGGAACTCCCACATACTCCTTATTTGGTCATGTGTGTGTGTGAGACTGACGCATAGCCAAAACCGGAAGCTGCGATAACTCTGGTGGCTACCATTAGCAGCTAACTTTGACTCTCCGGTTTATACATAAACATGGAATTATGGATTATAAATTAAAAAAGATTATTCCACAGAAACATTATCAACCTATGGATTAACCGATTCAGCCGTGATTTCTCGTTTTAATGCCATTGAACAAGTCTTTTGATCAGATTGACAGCTACGGTGAGACGATCTCCCGTAAAAGCTACGTGTTGTGATGCCTGTGTTTGCTTCCCCTGTCGCGAGTTCGGATCACTCAGTGATGATATAAATAATAAGTAATAAGGGTATCTTTTATCGTGATGATATAAATAATAAGTAATAAGGGTATCTTTTATCTTGAGTTCTGTGCCAAAGTGCGTTAGCATTTTTCGCTCAGGGGTCATTTAGATGCTTGTTATGAGACTTGTGTTTTGGTAAAAATGGTTTGTATCGTGAGTTAGCTGAGATTCTTCCCGTTAATCTGGTATAATTTATTAATAGGTTCTTAAATATTAAGATGCCCTGAGACACAGTGTCGTGAAAAAAATAAAAAGCTATCACACCAAGTACTTTGCCGAGGGGGGCTTTGGGGCTTAACAGGCTAAGTGCCGGGGCACTAAGTACGGCAAAGTACTTGGTGTGAAAGCGGCTAATGCATTATTTATAATCCAGATGAATATAATAATTTTCAAGGAGGTTAAACGCTTATGCAAGTCACGGCATGTTCCCAAACCAATGCCAGACGCTTCTGGGTAAATCAACCACACTAATGAAAGTCATGTCACTCACATGTAGCATGCACAGCATCAGGTACGGGGCATGCCATGTAGGGTTTGTATTTGTATTTAATCACATACTTAAATCTGTCAGCAGAGCACAATAGGTTCCATGTGTCCTTTGCATAACGTTAGATGAAGGACTTTAAAAACGTAGTTATTTACAGCTGATATAAAAATGTCCTCCTCTGTGAGGGAGTCCCTCTCTTCCCTCTCTCCGGCACCTCGGGTTCATTCTTTGAACTTCCACTCCTGCCGGCACATGGGGCACTGCTGCTGGACCTGCTGCGAGTTCAGCCATTTCAAGATGCAGTGCATGTGGAAACAGTGCGAGCACTGACCCCAGACCAGCGGGCAGTCATCTCCAGGCACTTTACCTGCAAAACATGTTTTACATCACATCTAATTTACAACAGTGAGAAAAGAGTGCTTGCTGTCATACTCATAACCTAAAGCAGGGATGGGAAACTTGGATGGTGGTGGGGGCCACATCATTTATGTACTGGCCACCAGGGGGCTGCAGATTCACTTGGAATACACACACACACAAAAATATTCCATGTATTGTATGTAATTATTAACAAATATACTAAGTCTGACATCTTTATTGACATTTTACAATCTTTCAGGTAACATCCTCTTATAAGCTCACTAAACAAATATCAGTTCAGAGAAATGTTATTAAATGTTTACAAGTGGCATGTTTGTATTGAACAGGTTATTTAACAGTGGAATAAAAATGTCAGTCAGGTTCAGGCCCTATAGCCTATCACGTACAATGTGAGGAAGTGCTAGCCTTTACAATTTAATGGACATACCAGTTTGATAACCATATTAAGAAGTAGGGATTTAATTTATAATCTCATTTATATTCTGCAGTGCTTTTCGAGCCGACTGTAAATATACGAAGACAAGGATTTACTTTGTATATAAAATACAGAGTAGACCTACGCAAAGCCTCAAGTGTGCACCTTAAATCCAAGGACATATCAAGGAAAAGCTAACTGCAGGAGTTGCAGTTACAGTACTTTGTTATTACTAGAGCTGAAGCTATTAGTAGAATTAGCAGTCACAGAAGAATAATCGCCTACTATTTTGATTGGCTCAATATTAAAGTCATTTTAAGCAAACATTTCAGATATTTTCTGAAAAGCAGGAACTGTACTAGTATTTTTACTCTGTAGTATTGTTACTTTTTTGTTAGTAAATCATCTGAGTACTTCCCATCAGTTAGCATCGCAGTTAGTCGGTTACTCACAGTCTGGGCAGCAGCCATTGAAGGGCATCCGGCAGATCCCGCAGTTTTCATCATTAGCCACCCACAACCAAGAGGCCACACCGTTCCACTGTCGGATCTTTACCTTCATCCTCCAGTCTGACAAAAGCAGACACACTCAGTGACACACTCGCATATGAACCTCAGCAGCTAGCGTTAGCATAGGAACTAATGTTGACAAAAGGATTTTCTAGCTAGCTGTTCAGAGATATTAGCCAATTTACTGGACAGCGTATAACGACTCCTTCATATATGAAACGCGATATAAGTTAAAGTGTTTCTTAAACTAAATCATGGTATTGCTAGTCTAATGCTCGTCAAAAACATGCAGCTAGCATTTTAACAACACGGGGGGAAATGTACTTCTTCTTCTACTGTTGGAATTCCGGTTGGCGGTGGCTTGTAAACGCACCGGCGACCGGCGCAGCAAGTACACGACACGCCCACCTGACACGACACTACGGTGGCTGAGAGACATTGACACCGTAACCGTACATGGCAGATGACAAAACATTACATGTTCCTTGTTAGATGCCTTTATCCACAGCGACTTACATACACAATACTGTGGGCAATCCCCACAGGAGCAATTTGGGGTGAAGTGTCTTGCCCGGGGACACAACGACATGCTGACTGCAGTGGGGTTTGAACATGGATGTATGGGTTTGAACCATAGGTTTGAACCATAGTTTTGAACATGTGACCCCCTGAAACCAACACCAAGGCTCTATCCACTGCGCCACACGCCTCCGTAAAACGAATTGCAAATGTTATTGTAGCATTTTAAGCAACTATTAGGCAAATTAATTAATAACCTAGTCTATCCGTTTGAGACACAACAGTATATGACTTTAAGCACAAATCATTTTGTCTAATTAATCAATTAAAACATAAAGGTGGCTTAGTCAACTTTATTTTTTAGTACATATAAAATAGGTAATAATGAGATCATCTATTAATTTTGTTTGTCTAACTGCTACACATGTATTTATACATACATGTATAGA